AGAGAGAGTTGGTCCCTGCTGATCAGAGCAGTGGTGGGAAGGAGGGCCGTGCCATGGCCAGAGGCTCTGGTCCTGAGGGTCCCCAGGAGCCAAGGCTTGGCCAAGTGGGGATGGGGGCGCTGGGGCCGAGCTGCTGCTGGGGGAGGTGCTCCTGCCTCAGGCATGGGGGCTCAGAAAGACAGGGAAGGGACTGAGCCTCGCTCAGCTGAGGGGTGCCATCTGCAGGCCAGGTGGGGATGGGGTGGCCAGGGCTCAGCAAGCCCCTACCAACTGCCTGTAGGGCTGCCAGGAGGAATGCAGCGAGCCAGGCATTGGAAGCACTCTGCAGTGACCAGAGGAAGGGTCATTAGGGGTGGTAGGGGGGGGATGGCGAGGAGGACACAGGGTCACTGGCCTGGGGCTTGGGCTGGACCAGCAGCCTGGAAGGTCGTGTCTGCACTGGAGCAGCCCTGCCCACAGCCTGCTGGGCCGTGGGCGTGGCTGTCCCCAAGGTGGTTGGAAGCAGGCCCTTTCCCACCATACTTCCCTGGCCGTCTGGTGGCTGGTGACCCCCTCCCTGCGCAGATGGCCTTATGGCTTTGGTCAGTCTTGGGTGGTGGCATCCAGGCTGAAATGCCAGCCTCCAGCCATTTGTCACCAGAACAAGCAGCGGCTCCGGAGATATCGAGGTCCCCTCCCCCCCATGTTGTGCTATGGGAACAGATGGTCTCTAGAAGAACGCCCTTCCTGGTGGAAGGAGATCTCTGCCTTCCTCCCTCGGGGCCCTTGCTCCTTGGCCCTGGGCTTTCTCTGGGGGTGGTGGTGGCCGCTTCATGCTCAAGGCTCCGGGCACTTTGCATCGCTCTCCCCACTTTGGCATTAGCTCTTGACTGCAGGGTTCCTGTTTGGTCAGGCAGACCTATTAGGCTTGGCCCCAGCAGTTTCTCATCAGTGGGTTCCCAGTCCCATTTCACATCATGCGTTGGCTATTGGGAGCTACATGGCTCATTCCCACATACCTGATGACTAATACGGACACACTCCCTACTTGTCTCAGGTGGTCTGGGGTGCTCTGGGCTCAGGGTCTCCCACATGGCTGCCACCTTCTGAGGTCTGACTGGACCACAAGCTAGCCCTTGAGGATGCAGATGTGTAATTCTTGCCCTGAGCAGGGCCAGCATGCGACAGTGCCAGGCCACCTGGTCAGTGCCCATAGACATGAGGTCTGGGGGTGAGGAAGGGCTCCTTTCCTATCACTGCAGGACAAGCCCAACCAAATATCCTAGCAAAATTGGACAATCCCTTTTAAGGTGTCGCATACCTTATTTGCATGGTCCCACCCACACAAGTGTGCCAGGCACCTTATATGCCTTATTAGCAATCTGTCCACACACACCTTATTTGCATGGCTCCATCTAATCACTGGGAGGGGGATACAAGACCATAGCAAAAAAAGCCATCTAAAAGTCACCCACCAGAAAGGAGGAAGGTCAAAGGAAACAGAGGAATGACCTAGGAAGCAAAGGTATGGATAGAGGTATAAACATAGGTGTGTACTTATGTAAATATATTAATTCATAAAGATAGAAGTATTGGCATAGGTACATATATTTATATGGCAATGCATGGAGGAAGTGGACAGACTTTGGGCCTCTGCTCAAGCCCTCCCTCAACGCAAGAGCACTTTGTTCTAACAACCTGGCATTCTGTGATGCTCACCCTCCAGGCAAGATCGCTGAAGACAAAATGGGTGCACCAGCAAATGTGGTGAAGAAAGCTGATGGTGCCTGGCTATCAAAAGATATAGCGTCTGGGGTCTTAAAGGCTTGAAGTTAAACAATCGGCCATCTATCAGAGAAGCAACCAAGCCCACAGGGAAGAATCACACCACGAGTGTGATCATGAGGTGTCCACGGGATCAGGTAACAGGCATCAGTAGACCCAAAACAAACAAACAAACAAAAAGCATATGTTGAGAACGAGGGAGGGTGAAGCAGAGACCCAAAACCCATCTGTAGACAATGGGACATCCTCTCATAGAAGGGTCAGAAGAGATGTGGCAGTAGGTGTAAGATATGACAATAATTTATAATGTATCAAGGAGTCATGGGGGTGGGAGGGAGGGAGAGGGAGGGTAAAAAGAGCTGATACCAAGGGCTCAAACAGAATGTAAATATTTAGAAAACAATGATGGCAACATATGTACAAATATGCTTGATATAATTGATGTATGGATTGTTATAAGAACTGATGTATGTATGTGACCGCCTCCCTGGGGGACGGACAACAGAAAAGTGGGTGAAGGGAGACGTCGGACAGGGCAAGATATGACAAAATAATAATTTGTAAACTATCAAGGGCTCTTGAGGGAGGGGGAAGCGGGGAGGGAGGGGGAAAAATGAGGACCTAATGCCGGGGGTTTAAGTGGAGAGGAAATATTTTGAGAATGATGAGGGCAATGAGTGTACAAATGCGCTTTACATAATTGATGTGTGTATGGATTGTGATAAGAGTTATATGAGCCCCTAATAAAATGATTTTAAAAAAATGATGGATGGTTACAATTGTTACAAGAGCTGTAAAAGCCCTCAATAAAATGTTTTTAAAAAATAAAAATAAAACCTGGATGGTTCCAAAGTTGGAACTTTAAATAAATAAATAAAATAAAAGTCACCCAGAACCCCATGCTGCCCCAGAGCCTGGTCTCTTCTTGCCCACCACAGACAGCTGTGTGCCCAACACAGCACCCTGTAGCTTTTGCTCCAATCTACTACTCTGGGGCCCCCATCTTCCCAGGGCACCCTCGGGTAACAGGGCTAGATGAGGGGCCACAGAGCCAGGGTGTTTTGCAGCATGAGACTGACTCCCTCCAGCATCTTCTTGGCCTTGGTGGGGGGGACAGATGGAGCCACGAGGGTCCAGGGCCCACCTGTCCTGACACTTTGGCTGGCACTCAGCAGAGACACTGTCTTCCAAAGCTACTTTGATGGACCCCAATTTGGGTGAAGATGTTGGTTGGGCAAAGACTGCTTCCCTGGGATCTGCTTCAGGAGTGAACCCAATCTCCCCATAGCAGTGTTGCTTCTGACCTCTGGGCTGGGCACTAAGGGGGAGATGGGTCCTGGGTACAGGTCACATCTTGTCACTGCCCTCCCCACTCAGCTAGGTGGTGTGATTTGGTGATGTGGTGACAACACCCCCTGTGGACAAGAGTGCTCTTCCAGGGCCCAGGGACCACCATCCTCAGCCCCCCAGCCTCCCACTCCACCAATGACCCAGCCCTATGATGCACCCCCTGCCACCACTTCGCTTGCAGCCCCCTAGCCCCTCTGCACAACCCCACAGCAATGCCAGATACTGCTGTCTCAGTGCTAGGTAACAGGCCTGAATCTTTCCCGACAGTGTCCATCCCTGGAGGTGAGGACTGGAGGTCCAGCAGGACTGGGATTTTTCCATTTGCCCTTTGCCCATGCCCCACTGGTGGCAGGGGGAGGCCACTGTGTCTGTGGAGATGGTTTGGGAGCCAAGGGGAACTCCTGTTGGTGCTCTACCTCAGCTGCTGTACTTAGCTTTGCCATGGGGCCCAGGCAGGCTGCCACCCAGTGGTGGACCTCTGGGCACTGGCTCAGTTGCCCTGTGCTCCAGCGGAGGGGAGCAGGTTTCCTGGGAAGGGCAAAGCGGTACTTGCGGGGGCCCTCTGGTGGCAGCCCTCTAGGGACCCTGCTGTGGCCCTTGCGGCAGGTGGGAGCCACAGTCCTGGCTTCCTCTAGCCCTGAGCACTGTAGGGCCTCAAGAGCACTGTAGGGAGGGGGGAAACCACTGCCCTCTAGAGTTGGGGTGCCCAAGAGTCTGAGACCAGCAGCAAGCTGGTGGGGCCCCCAGGAGCCCAGAGCCCCGAGGAGAAATGGGGCTGGGCCCTTGTAGAGCCTTGGAAAGAAAGGTTGGAGCTGCTGTAAGTTCAAGGAGAGCTGGAATGTTCTAGAGGCTCAGAGCGCTCAGGAGCTCTCAGATAGAGCAGCAGCTGTGGGAAAGGCACAGCACACAGGGATGAACACTAGTAATGAGCAGCCAGACCAGGCTCCCCTGAGGGGGTCTGTCCCCTGCCCTGTAACGACTATAGGCCCCAGCTCCTCTCACTTTCATGCCCCTCCTCCACACAATCACTGCAGAGGTTCAGTGTCACCCTCACCAACTGCCCACTGCCAGGCGCCAGCAGGCCATGATGGGGGAACTGGGCAGGGCTACTTCCTTGTCCCTGCCTTCCTGACACTGGCTTAGGGGCTAGTGGGGGCTGTGTTCTCAGTGCCTCCTAAGTGCAGCCCTACCCCACCTCGGTTCACCCCCGACAGACTCACAGCTCAACCCCACAGGCCTGAAATGACGAAGGTCGAGAATGTGCCCCTGTGGGCACTGCACAGGGGCTGTGCCAGGTGAGACAGCCTGGGTCAGCTGAGGGCAACTGTTTGCAAGGCGCTAATTAGAGGCTAGGAGGAACTAATACCAGGGCCACATCTCTTCAGGGAAGCCCTGGGCAGGGGGTATCACCAGGTGTCTTGTCTGCTGGCCTAGGGAATCAGAGTCGCTATGCAGGAATCGACCACCTGGCCTGGGTTCATGTACTGAGCAACCTTCCAGACAGGGTTTCCTAGAGAAGAAGAGAAACCCTGGAGAAGTGACACCTGGTGTCCAGGGAGGAGGTAGCACTTCCCCAAGGCCATTACCTGTCTGGGCAAATCCTCCCACAAGGCACCCATGTGAGGAGTCAACCACCCCCAACCAGCCTGGTACTGACCTTGTATTGCCAGGTGCATGCTCTGTGTGCTGCCAGGCTGGGTGGTTGGGTGCCTGGTGACATGAGGGTATGAGCCAGGGACGGAATCCACCAGCCAACACAGACATCCCTGGGGGCAGCACTTGTGCCCTGCACCAGAGTGACTGGAAGTTGTACCAGCCTGCTCCTACACAGAAAGAGCCAACACGTTGAAAATGAAGTCTTTTTATTGTGTTCATGAAAACCAAGTGTTTTAGGTTAATCCCCTGCCTCAAAGGTGACTAGCAGGAGGCATCCATAGTGAGGACGGTAGTGCCCCGCCCACTCCAGAGCCCAGCCGCCAGGCCAGCTAGAACACATAAGTAAGTCCCCCATCCCACCCACCCCCACTAAAGCAGCCAGCCTTCCGAGGAGGGCTGGCCTCCAGCCCCTCAGGGAGTGGCCAGGAAGCAGCTGCAGTCCTCCGTCTGCATAGAACAGTACAGAAAAGCCATAAAGGCAGCAAAGGCTAAGGCAACAAAAAGGTACTGGCCCCAGAGTGGGACCTGGAGGCTTGTGCCTGGGGCCTGCTGCTCTGGACTGAAGGCTGGGCGAGTGAGCCACAAAGGTGCTGAGGAGGAGGAGGAAGAGGAGGAGGAGGAGGAAGAGGAGGAGGAGGAGGAGAAGGAGGAGGAGGTGGAGGAGGTTGAAGAGGTAGAAGTGCTAGTAGGATAATAGGATGGACTGGTAGAGCCTCTGGAGCCCAGGCGGTAGTGCGATATGTCCTGGTAGGCGCAACCCTGCATACATTGACAACAATTCCTGGAGCAGAAGAGAAGGCAGACAGGTAGGTCAGGAGCGTCTCCCCTCAGCCCCCAGCCCTGGCCCACCCCATGACTTACCCATCTTTTCCTTCCTCATCAGAAGAAGTGAACATCAAATCTTCTCGCACCTAGAGAGGGCAGGACCCTGTCACTCCACAGTCTACACTCTGTGCTTTGGGCTCAGTGGCTGTCCCACCACCCCCTCCTCCCCAGGGACCCTGAGAGCAGTGTCCAACATCCTGGGCAAGAGTCAGTTTCAGTCCAACAGCTCTCAGGTTCCCCAAGAGTGGGGTCCCTGGGCACCCCTGTCTGGCAGCCACCACTTCCACCCAGGTCTAGTCCCCTCCACCGTCAGTCACCAGGAGCGAGGATGGGGACTGGAGGAAACTGGTGGAGCCCACTGACTCCGGTTCCTCGCAGGTTCTGCTGCTCACGCAGCTCTCCTCATAGTCTTCCACCTGGACATCGTCCTCGTAGTCGTTGTCTTCATCATCGTCCTCCTCGTTATTATAGCCTTGGGGAAAGGGGCATAGGTGGTGAGGCTGGCACCCTCCCTGAGTCCGGGGCCTCCAGGGGC